GAAGCGTTCATTGAAGTTTAAAATGGAAATAAATAATACATAATTTTAAATTAATTGTGTATATAGGTACATACATTTTTTAGGACAATTCCGCCGCAAATGGCCAAACGCCCCACACGAATGGCAAGATATATTATGCCGTCCCCGTGGCCATCCTCGTCCTCGAAAAACATTGTGTACTGCAGGTGATGGTGATTCCTGGGGATTCGTCGATGTTGTAGCCATTTGAACTATTTAAATAGTTATACAATATTCATTGAATATTATAGATTATTTCTTAATTAATAATATCATTATAAAACTGATTTTTTCAAATATTTTATTATTGAAACTAACCAACTGACACAATCGACCTGAGGGCTTCTGCGTAAATTGTCGCGGAGGGTGGGAAATGCCCACTGCGTCCATGGACCTCACCACCACGACCACGCATTAACCCACCACGACCACGTGTTAGCCCTCCACGACCACGTATTATTCCGCCACGACCACGTACTTGGCCGAATTGCAGATTACTGCCAGACGTACTCTGTAATAATGGCGATGACCGAATATTGGCCCTGCCTCTGGGCCATTTTGCTGCCACCATCGTTTGTGTTGACCTGAATCAATGTATAAATTAGTGAAAGTTAGAAAATAATAATTATATAAAATTCTTACATATTCGGGTCGCATACTCTGATGCTTGGGTTTTGTGCATGGTCTGCCAGCTTTGATCTAATCAATGCACAAAACCCAGAATAGTGTAACATTTCACACTTTGGAAATACCCAAATCGACGAACCGAGCCCCAATGACAAGGTTTCGACGATTTGGGTTTCCAAAGTTGTGAAAAATGAGTCTTCCTCGCCGTACAACCAAAAAATTATTTTTTTTGAAGTTAGATATTTGGCCACAACTTGACCCCGCTTTAATGTGGACCAAAATCCGGTATCCATTAATCTATATTAATAAATTAAAACCAAAATGTTTAGTTAATCGTATAGAATTGCAATATAGATAGTAAAAAACAAATTATTAATATATAAAATTAAATTACTCGGCCTTCAAATTGAAATGATTTAAACATTTTAAAAATGTTGCATTTGTACTGGCACTACACAAATCAATGGGTAGTACCAGTA